GGGCGGAAGTTTATGAAATTTCACTTGCTTACTTGGTGAGTGTACTACTCACTTGTTTGTTACTATGTGGCTTTGTTACACTTGAAATCGATGATTTGATGGCTTAATTGCATTGTTGACCTTGATTGAGGTGAGAGGGTACTTGATCACTCTCACCCTTTTATCTTATATGACTGTTTACTGTATAATTGAGTGACACATGTAAATACTTGATTTGGTGTCGTTTGGACGAGTTTCCAACGGTCATTACTGTTACTGCTGAACTCAACCCCAGTGGTAGTCGATTGAATTGAGCCGGCGAGGGTTTGATCGTGAAAATTGACGAGCCATGGGGACCGTTATATGGAATCGTGTAGTATGAGACTTTCGATTCCGGTATACTCGAGTATTACCAAATTTATACTGTTTAGAGTTCGGGCCCGGTAGGGGTATGTTGGGTGGAAGGAATGAAAGTAAAGTGGAGTCTACGGTTGGTTACTTTGTAAACATTGACGGAGGGTCAATGAAATCCGATCAAGTATACAAGCGAGGAAAGGGGCTCTTGAGAGCCGTCCGTATCCTTTTAACCATGTTGTGAATGTGTGATCTTGGTTTACTTCTTTATTGAACGTTTTATGCCTATATGAACTTGGTTGCTTGAGTGATAGTATCTCACTGGGCGTAAGCTCACTCTATTCCTTTTGTTTTCCTTACAGGAATATAAACACTTTTGGAATGGCTTTTGATAGTTGGATGCCGAGTTGAGCTTGTTGTAACTATCTTTTGAATAGCTCCTTTTGGGCAAAATCCTAAGTGCATTTTGATCCAACCAAGTCGTTGAGTTGTAATTTGCAAACCGTACATGTACAAACTTGTTGGATAACTTTTGTATGCTACTTTGGATTGTAAATGCTTAATTTCAAGGTGTATATGTTAGATGGATGTTTGGTGAGATTCCGGCCGGATTCTGACGTGTCAGTTACTATTCATGTCGGCTCCGATTTTCATTTTTTTTATTTTGTGATTTTGACTTGTTTAAGCGCGCTTGTATGTTCCAGAACGTTTAGACCGTATTGAATTGTCCCGTTAGTCCTGGCGAGAGTTGGGCAAGCAGTCTGCTAACCCCTTTGGTTCGCCTTAGGGGAAGGTGGGGCTGTCACAGCAAGTGTATAACCGTGGCAATTTAATGCACAAATTTTAGGTATAAACACACATATGGAATTTTTAGAAGACATAACTAAGGTTTTTCACCCTCAACTACACTAATAATTTGAGTAAACTAATATTACAAGAATCAAAGTATTAAAAAATGTAAAGTAATAGGACACACATAGCTAATTTTGCAATCTAGCCAAATATGCAAACAGGGAACAAAAAAAATGAAGTCAGCATCATCTTAACGCTTGAATTCTTGCAACTAAAGCAGAAGCAGAAGCATCAGCGTTCCCTCCCTCAACCATCACTATTTTCTTTCATCGCACCTCTTCTTCCTTCTCTAACCACCACCCTCCCCTAAACTGACTGTGCCATGCAATGTCTTCCTTGCGGCCACCGACAACCCCAGCTCTTCTTACCTATTTCCTCTCTGCCTACAAGGAACCTAACATACCCCCATTCAAATACCCTATTCCCAAAAGCACACCATCACAGACTACACACCCTAATAATCATTCAGATACTAACCAAATGAAATGCAATCATTTAATCATTTAGATGGATATTACAAGAATGAGGCCTGCTGCAATTGAAAACATTAGGTGCTATTTCCATTTACGAAGCACATCTTAATTACATCAACAGCCATACACAATATCCATTGTAACCATAACAACCAACTCCAGAAACAATAGAAAAACATAAGAAGCCACAGTCGAGAAAGCGAATACCTACAATATAGTCAGTTACGAACTAAAGAACAATTGAATCATTGGCAATAGGTTTGAATTGGTGAAAATAGGGGAATTGCAATTTGGTGCAGTGGGTTAGTCAAAACATCCTAAACACAGCATTTACATTTTTGCTAGTGTAAACAATGTTGGTTCCATATTAGAGATGTGTGCAAGTCATTCAAACTGAGTGCATTTATTTTTATCAAAATCGCAAATAGCCCAAATAAAAAATGAGCTTACTACTAGACCATGAAGCAAATTGGATCACTACAAGTGCTAATTAAAATGCAACGATCATGCATTTGTTTCAGGGAGACAAATTTTATAGAATAATTACCGAACCCTAATTTTGAACAACAGCAGCACTTGGGCACTATACAATACATATGTTTTTTAGCATAAAGACGAAGCTTCGTGAATTCCAGCCAAGGAAACATACCTAATTTAGAAACATGTGGCACGTAGAGCCAAGGAAACGAGGTTGACAAAGAAGGTCGGCAGCGGAAAAAGGCGTTGAGCTAACAAAGATGGTGAACCTTGATCGAAGTCAAACTTGATGGAAACTATTAGATCCATGTAATCGTAAGTTGTTGGTTTTTCCAAAAAATTGCTGGTTGCTTCATTTTTTTACAAAACAGCAGCTTCATTTTTTACAAAACAACATATGTCATCTAAGATAATGCTATGACATTTGGAGGTTAGGGATGATGAAGAGGGGGAGTAAGAGGAAGAAAGAAAAAGACTTCAGCTACGGTTATGTTGGTTTGTGAAACTCAGTACAATGATCAGAAAATTGTATTGTCTTTTTATTGTTTTTGAAGCAAAAGTTGGGGATGAATTATTTGGGTCAAGAAAAGAAGTTGGTCAAATATTTTTATTATTCTGAAATTACAAGAATGAAATACTTATAATCCAAACAAAGCCTTTGCTTTCTTGGTCAAAATTGCTTTTGTATGTCAAGAAACAAATGAGCTGGCGTAGACTTGGTTTAGTGGTTTGACAAGTGTCAAACTCACGCCAAGTGTCTAATGCATGGACAAATAAAAATTTAGACCTTGCACTTTCATTCCATCTCACTATTACCCTACTAGTTTCTTGTTAAATTCGTATTAAATTTCCATGAATGTGAATCATGCATGAATTTAAAATATTCTAATACACTTTAAGTATAAGGCAATCAATTAAACACTCCCAGTAATCGATAATCCAACAAGATTGCACGATCAAAATTTCGAATGGTAGTGTATGCAATTAGACTTAAAATTTCGAGCTCTTACATTTTAGTTCATTCATAATGATAAAACGACAAAAGCAAATAAGCATGCTAATTAGGAGCAATGAAAAGCAATTGGCATGTGGTTCACATAAACTTCATAAATTGTCAAAAGAAAATTTGGGATAGAAGGAAGAAAGACCTTTACAATACTATTTTGATAATGGTTCAGCATGTGTGGATGATTTTAGTGGCGATAGAGGCATCGGCAACTCTTACACTTCCACTTTCTTCTTTCCTCTTTTACTTATTTTATTTTTGATTTTTTTCTAGTTTTTCTTTTCTTGATATTTTCTTTTTGAATTTGGATGAAATTTAAGAGGTTAAAGTTGAGATTTGGAGGACTTTTGGAGGTTGGTTTTAGAGAAAAGTTGAAAAGATGAAAATGGGCAATGGATTTTTGTGACTAAAATTTAAGGGACGATGCAAAATGGAAGTTGAGGTTTGTGGTTAGAGTGATTAAGGCTTTTGATGATGAAGTTATATGATGATGATTCTTAAGGATAAGGGAAAATAAGATAGTGGTTGGATTTTTGGTAAAGAATTGGTGGTTTTCTTGTTCTTGATGCTTGGATGATGATTAATGTGAAAGTTGAATGAATATCTCCTGTGCAAACAAACCCTTGCTTGTCCCCGGTGGTGCTGTTTTAAGTTGATGAAAGGGTTACAAGTATACGTTTTACTTAGTCTGAGGGCTAAATTATTCAACTAATAATTGTAGGGCTAAAAGTTAAAAATTGTAATAGTTTGAGAGCTATTTGGGCATTTTACCTAAACAAATAAATTGGATATATAATAATTAGGGATAATTTCATGAACCTCCCCTGAGGTTTCTCACAACTGCAAAAAGCACAAATCTCAGGTTTTAAAAATTACATATATTTCCCCTACTTTTACTATTTAGTAATAATATAGGTCCAAGAATTTGGATTTTTCTTTGAAAAATCCTAAATTGTTCTTTTGTACAAAACTAAGAAAGAAAAATATAATATACTCAATCATTTTCTTCCACACTTTACATAAATCAACAAGCCAAATCCCTAATAACTATCCAAGCATAAGTTTTAAAATCAAGTAACTATTCAAAAGATCCCAAATTGCATATACAATATCAATACTTGCCACGATAAAAAAAATACACAAAACCCCATTGACAACCGATTTTGTACCCTCAAATTAAATATCAATACTTAAATAACTTTTCAATATAAGTTAATTTGACCTAGAACCACTATTACAATTCTCCTATGACCTTAAAAATATTAATATCTCAAAAGTTGAGAATAAATTCTACCTCCACAATAAAATCATAATAAAAAATTTCTAATCTAATGAAAGAAATCATTATGTAATTATTGGCATTTTATAAAAGTTTTTCTTAACAATAAACAAAATATGACAAATTCCACATCTTTAGTTCTTTTTCTTATTCAATCATTAATTTCATTATTTATTTCTCTATCACTGCGAGTCTCTTCATTTCGTTCTAATTTGACACATAATCTATTCCCTTTGTAGATTTTGTAATTTCAATTTGCTAATATCCGCAAAATTGAAGGTAATAAAAAGAGGTTATATTAACTAGAAAATAGACAAGAAATAGAAAAATAGATTTTTTTTAGGTTTTGTAAATTTATTGCCTTAAATTTAAAATTTTCTTCTCAGTGAAGGGTATTATAGGTTTTTACTATGTCAAGGGAGGTAAGTGTAATTTCTTAAACCTGAGAGGAGCCGAGTGCAATTGTCAGAAACCTCAAGGGAGGTTTCTGAAATTATCCCAAATAATTACCCGCCAAATTCCCATCATAGTGGGCGATGAGCCCGCTCCTTCAGTAGAGCCTCCTGTTCCAACGCCGCCAAAAAGGAAAAAAAAAAAATTGCTCAGGAAAAAAGAGTTGATGTTTTCGTATCAGATCTCAAGAAAGACTCTTGTTCTCCCTTTGTATTTATAGAAAGCACCAACAGAAATAATGGAATAAAATTGCGGGTTTGTTTTTTTCTTTATTTAGATGTCTTTTATGGTTCATCTGTTTTTGTCTTGTAATCTTCTTGAATCTAATTAAACCCCCGTTTTCTTGGCTCCCATTTCATCCTATTCCTTTTGGGATCTTGTTGTTTCCTTCCTATTTTAACCCATCTATCTTTCATACATATGTATCTATTGACAAATGTAGGTAGGATTTAATATCGATTATTATTAGGTTTCTCTTTTGTCTTATTCCTCTGTTTGTTATGGTTTCCTTGATTCTACATTATTGTTCTCAGTATTCTGCATTCCTTCTGTCCCATTCCTTCTGTCCCATTTCTTCTGTCCCATTTGATATATTTTTTCCATCATAACGTTCAAGATTAAACCTTTAGCCCATGTTCGTTCTTTTAAATGAGAAAAGGGTTGTTCTTGGAATAGGAAATGGGATTAATTTAGGCAAGTTTTAGTGATTCTTTGGGAGTTGTGGCTTGTAAATGGCAGAAGAGAGAAGTAGTATTAGTAGTCTGCAGCAGAAAGTGTTGTTAGCTGTATTCTTGAATTGAAATGGGGCTAATATCTCAGAAATCATTTTTTTGTTTGTTCTTGATAACTTCTGTGCTGTTCATATTATCTTGGTTCTCTGTCTTGCGCTTGAGTGGACGGACTCATTCTTTAGACCTTAGTATATGGCAAAGCCCCAGTGATCTTGCTGTGCCAGATGATAATGACGAGAATTCGGAATCCCGATATGGTGATAATTTTGAAGAAGTCAGCAGTTCTAACAAGGATGTCATAAAATGCAGTTCTAACAGGGAAGAAGTCTTGAAGGTTTTTATGTATGATTTACCTTCGGAGTTTCATTTTGACCTTTTGGGTTGGAAAGATAAAGGCAACAAAAGTGTTTGGCCAGATATTAGGATTAATATACCTGAATACCCTGGAGGATTGAACTTGCAACATAGTATAGAGTATTGGTTGACATTAGATCTTTTATATTCTGAATTTGTAAGCAAAGATTTGAGTGGCAGAAGTGCAGTAAGAGTCAGAAATTCTAGTGAAGCTGATGTTGTGTTTGTTCCATTTTTTTCATCTATCTGCTACAACCGGTTTTCAAGGTTGAAACCACATGAAAAGAAGACTCGCAATACCTTGCTTCAGCAAAAATTGGTTACCTATGTAACGTCTCAGAAGGAATGGCAAAAATCTGGGGGTATTGACCATATAGTTGTTGCACACCATCCTAATAGCCTTTTGGACGCCAGATCACAGCTTTGGCCAGCAATGTTCATCCTTTCAGATTTCGGAAGGTATCCACCAACCATTGCAAATGTTGACAAAGATGTAATTGCACCTTACAAACATGTAATTAGAAGTTTTGTCAATGACTCATCTGAATTTGATACCCGTCCAACTTTGCTCTATTTCCAGGGAGCTATATACAGAAAAGATGTAAGTTACTTTTACTCCATCATTATTGTGATGACTTAACTATCTGTTATTACTTAAAATTTTCAACTTTTACTGCTGGATTAATCATTTGAAAGTTGACCACTGTCATCTGGCAATTAGATTAGTGTTGTTAGCTGTTAGTTTTTTCATCATTTTGTACCTGTGTTTGTTCATTTGCTACTCCTGTTTAGAATTCAGGCCACCACAAATGTTAGTTTAGTACTTGTGCTGTAACACTACTACTTAGTTCATCCATAAAAATGCACAATGAAGTTTGCATCAACATAAAATGCTACTGAGAAGGATAGATTCCATGTCCGAATTACATTAACTTCCTCTTGTGACTTTCAGCTGCATGAGTTTTATTTGAAGAGAAGAAATATCTAGAAATGTGTGTCTCTCTCTCTTTCTCTCTCTCTCTCTCCATGTTTTGTCCAGCAGATATACACTATTTGCATTTTATTGAATATATATCGAAATATTAGTATCTTTTTGAAGGCAAACAAAAGAAAGAGGGGAGGGACTGGTGAATAAATTCTTCGAATTTTCATGTGAATTTTGCGAGCATGCAATGAAGTTCAGTCATTTATTATCTTTGTTGCCAATCAAGATTGTAGCTGATATGTATGGTTCAATTTGATCTCCCTGAAATGAAAGCTGATAGGCAGTAAGTACGGCTTAAGCCTTGCCATTTTGCTGTAGAAGGCCATTTGGTAAATCTGACTGTAAAAGATAGTCTAGAATGGTAGGATTGTTGTACTATGCATCCAAGGAAGGACAGATTGGTAAGGGAAGCAAGTGGACAAGGATCCTAGTGTAGAAAAAAGTAACGACTACATGAAAGTTGCATTAACCATGAGGGAAGTTTGTGGAGGAAAAGCAACAATAATGATTTGAAATCATTTAACTTCTTAAGGTTTTGTATCAGATGAAGTAGAGATTGAAATTTTAGCTTTACAGGGGCTTGTTGTACTTAGCTGTCTTATCTTTCGACTCAAAACGAGTAGTAGAAAGGGGAAGAATTAGATGGTTCTGCCAAAAAAAAAAGGAGACGAAGAAGAGTTAGATGGTTATTTTCTGTTATAAAGTTCCTCACGTTTTCAATTTCAGTCCCCGCCGGGGGGGGGGGGGGGGGGGCTGGTGAAGTTGCGTCCTGAACCATTTAAAATTGTGAAAGTCTAATTTGTTAACTTGTTAACTTCATGTAACTGGTCAACCAAGATTCTTTGCTTTGGTTCCATGCAATTTACTATTCATCTTGATGCTTCACTTTGGTTCCAACTATCAGCCACATCACTCTCAGTTCCCCTCACTTTTGCTCCATCAAATGGTACTTTAAAGCTACACTTTCTCAGTGTGAAGTTCACAATGACATACCCACAAATTTGGTAGACAGTGACTGCGGCTTCTAAGATAAGCAGACATTTTGAGTTGTGATACTCGCTCAGCCAGATATTCAACTTTGACTTTGCCTTCCCTCGAATAAAAAATTTCACCAGTATGACCAGTAGATTACTTTGTTACTTTACTGCCAAAATTAAGGCTTGCATATTTTGAAACAAGGTTCACTGTTATGAGTAATAAAAAATAAAAAACTCTTAGCCTGTACTAAAAGAAACATAGTTCTTTTTACGTGCTTGAAATGAAATGTGGATGACAGTTCCTAGTTGTCTGACAAATACTTTCACACTTTGATCTACATTAAATTAATTTTTACAGGCATGTCTGCTAACTGGCCAATGATTTTTTTGGTAATATTGGTTTTCCATGTTTCAGGGTGGAATTGTTCGTCAAGAGTTATTTTACATGCTGAAAGATGAGAAAGATGTGCATTTCTCATTTGGAAGTGTCCAGAAAGATGGTATCAAGAGTGCTACCCAGGGTATGCACTCCTCTAAATTCTGCCTCAATATAGCAGGTGACACTCCCTCATCAAACCGTCTCTTTGATGCTATTGCTAGTCACTGTGTTCCAGTGATCATTAGTGATGATATAGAGCTTCCTTATGAAGACGTTTTGGACTATTCAGAGTTCTCTATCTTCATTCGGACATCAGATGCTCTCAAGGAAAAATTTGTTATAAATCTTACAAGGAGCATCAGAAAAGATGAGTGGACCAGAATGTGGAAAAGGCTTAAAGAGGTTGAGAGTTTCTTTGAGTATCAGTTCCCATCTAGGGCGAATGATGCAGTCCAAATGATATGGCAGGCCATTGCAAGAAAGGTTCCTGCTATCAAGATGAAGTTGCACAAAGGCAAAAGATATTCTCGAACTCATGCACCTCGAGAAGGATGGCTTAATTCAATAAATTTACCAAATAATTTTTGGTGAGGATTCACTGTTTCAAATTTGCTGTATGGCCTCGCTTGCTGCAAAAAGCATATTTGGGATTGGAAGCGCATCAATGTTGCAAATTTCAAGATAGAAGGCCTTTTGTGGGCGATAGTGTAGCATAGCAATGGGATTGTTCTTGGGGGATAACACACACACACACACACACAGAGGATAACCATATTAAAAATTATCATAGATTAGACAGACCTTGTGAATTAGTTCATTATGTATTATTTGTTTGGATCCTGAGAGAATTGCAATTCTTGTTCTGAATCTTCATTTAAAGAAATACCAATAGAAAAGGAGTAAATGAAGATTCTCTCAACTTAAATGTGTTCCTATTTGCTTTGACCAACCGAGCATGTCACTCTCAATGTACAACAGAACAGCCAGACCAGGTAAAATCATCTGAGAAGAATATTACAATATTTTGAAAAGGAAAATTGACAGAACAAATTTAGTAATAAAGGCTTTCATATTATAGAAACCTTCTTATCCAGGAAAACTCGCCAAGGTCGAATTTGGTCCATCAGTACATCTCTAGTCTGCAAATTTATCGTTCAATAGATCTTTTCAATGATATGGAGGGACTAAAGTTTCTGGTGTGAAATCTAAAAGGAGTTGAAACTTGTTAAATCTAAATGGAAACTTACAACTAAGAATGCAATACTGGCCAACCCCGATCTTCTCTATGAATAACTTTTGTTCTACAGGTTCTAGCAAAACTTCAGTGTCAACTCAGATATCAGGAGCAGCATAAAAAAAAAATGAACTATCCCCATAAAATAAGCAGGAGTTTCTTTAGATTCATATTCTCCTTCCAGTGGATAAATTTGTAGTGTGTGTGGTTCATGAGAAATTTGCAAGCATACGAAGACATGATATTTTTTCTTCTCTTTCATGCTGACGGAAGGATGTAGCATGATTTATTTTTTGCAGCAAAAATTGAAAGTATCATACAGTAACTTTTTCTCATTTCCCCTTCTCTAAAAGCAGCTTTATCACCAAATTTGGCAGTTCTGAAAATGAAAAAAATTAGAAGTCACGCTGCTGCAAAAGAATATGCAAGTCTATGCTGTTAAACCAGTGCCAAACCTAATAAACATTTTCAGTAAAAGATGTAAAACAATAGCATTGTTGAATTGCATCATGACTTTGAAAAATTAAATTATGTTTAAAGGCTTTATAGTTGCAATTGTTAACGATGAGCAATGATCAAGACTTACTATGCTTAAATACTTGAAAATTTGTGCTGTATATTGAGGAACTGGCAGTTTAAGAATCGATTATAATATCAGCATGCTTGCTCCCAGCAAGTAGTCCCAAAGCATTCCTGTGAGTTTGCCTTTCCTTCTTGTACCAATTGTGTCAACACAAGTAAATCAAGAAGCCAACCACTTTTACCACGAAGGTAATTTCTTCCGGGATCTGTTTGATAACTTAATTCAGCACTTAAATTTAATAGATTCAGATCTTAACGTATTCAGATACGTTTGATAATTAAAATTAGAACATCTGAATTTATGAAGTGGTACCGAATTTTTCAAGTAAAAATTAATCCCAAAAATAAGTGATAAGTTATTCACTTATCATTTAATGTGATATACATTCAAATATATCAAATTTAATACTTAACAATTCACTAATTTAATAGATTCCAATTTTATATTTTATATTTCAATTTTATCAAATGCGCCTTGAGTCTCCGAGACTCACCTTAGCTATAGCAGTTGTTGGAGCTAACTAATGGAGTAGTTGTTGGACGTGTAGAAATTGTCGGTGGAAAAGTATTAGGTGACGTCGATGGTGGAGAATTTGCTAGTGGATTTGTCATAGGATTATTTGTTAGGGGCATAGTTAGTTGGTGAAAAAGCTGTTGAGGGACTAGTGGTTGCAGGGGTAACTGTACGAGGGATGAAATTGTTATGAAATTTTTGCTTACTTGCATGGCATGGTAATAAAAGACACTAATATAAAATTTAGGATACATAACTATAAACTTGTAGCAAAATGAAAAATTAATTTTAAGTAGAGATGAAGTAGAAAGAATTTAACTTTTGCAACATATGCCAAATTGTGACAGCAATTGGAAATGTACAATAGGTTAATGTTAATCAAATTGCAGAAAACAAGGAAAAATACCTGGAAAAAGTAAAAAATATTCTAAGATTTGATGAGATTGTAGTAGCTGATGCCATGAACAAAACAGGTGGTATGGCTCTTCTATGGAAAGAGGAAGTGACAATAAAAGAGATTTTGATATCTGCCTTTACTATCGAGGCACATGTGGAGGACCAAGAAGCTAATCTAGATTGGTGGTTCATCGGTATTTATGCGAGCTGTGACAATCAGGTGAGAGGACAGCAATGGAAAGTGATTCAGAAAAGGAAAAGATTGTGGGGGGAAAGGTGGATAATAGCAGGGGACTTTAATGACATAGTTTCTAATGATGAAAAGTGGGGAGGAAACTGGAGGGAGGATAGAAGCTTTAAGGACTTTAAAGAGTTCATCAATGGAAATCAGATGATGGATATTGGATTCGAGGGACACCCGTGGACATGGTGTAATAATTGGGAATCTGGAGGTGAAATTAAACAAAGACTGGACAGGGGGCTATGCAGCTACTCATGGTACCAGATTTTCGACCAAGTCAAGTGTAGACATCTGGATACTTATGCTTCTGACCACAGCATGATCATGATCGACACAAGACCAAGGTCAGATAGGAGGAAGAAGCGATTCTATTTTGAAAAGAGATGGTTAAGAAGAGAGGACATAGGAGAGGTTATCAAGACTGCTTGGAAGCTGGACACGGAAGGATCAAGGATGTTTCAAGTGGTAAAAAAGATCAAGAATTGCAGAATTGCTCTACTAAAATGGAAAAATACTTTCCAAGCGAACTCTAGAGGGAAGATAGATCGGATCAAAAGACAAATGAGTGAGCTAAAGGAAATGGACACAAGCAATAGGAATAGTAGTATGAACATTCTGAAGGGGAAACTTAAGGATGCATACAAGGAAGAAGAATTGTATTGGGCACAGAAATCAAGGCTTCAATGGCTCAGGGAGGGAGATAAAAACACAAAATTCTTCCATGCAACTGTGAAAGGAAGGAGGAGGAGAAATCGAATGAACAAGTTGCAAAGAGAAGATGGATCATGGACTGAAAGTGAGGAGGAGCTAAGTTCGGAGATTGCTGAATACTATAGGAAACTCCTTACTAGCAGTGGAGATGGGGACTTAACTGAGGTACTAGAGGGTATTCCAAACAATATCACCGTGGAAATGAATGAAAACCTCATAAAACCTGTGGAGGAAATGGAGATTAAATCTGCTTTATTCTCCATGAGTCCTGATAAGGCCCCTGGGGCTGATGGAATGTCGCCAATTTTCTTCCAAAAATTCTGGAACATTATTAAGAATGATATGGTAAAGGCAGTCCAATCTTTTTTTCATAGTGGCCATCTCCTTAAAAATGTCAATCACACAGTGATCACCCTCATTCCTAAGGTTCTAAATCCCACATCTCTGAAACTCTATAGGCCTATAAGTCTTTGTAACACTATGTACAAAATCATTGCTAAGATCTTAGCGAATAGGCTTAAAAGTGTCTTGCATTGCTGCATTTGCAAAAATCAATCCGCATTCATCCCTGGTAGGCAAATTTTGGATAACATCATGCTTTCTCATGAATAGTTGCACTATCTCAAAAACAAAAGGCAAGGTAAAGAGGGGTTCATGGCCGTGAAGCTGGACATGTCCAAAGCATACGACAGAGTTGAATGGAGCTTCTTGGATGCAATGATGGCAAAACTGGGATTCCACTATAAATGGAGAAACTGGATCATGGAATGCTTAAGAACAGTAACATACTCTTTCTCTATAAATGGAGAAGTTAAAGAATATGTCACTCCAGGAAGAGGCATTAGACAAGGGGATCCCCTATCCCCCTATCTATTCCTCCTCTGTTCAGAAGGGTTCTCAAATCTCCTCAGACGAGTTGCAGAGAGCAAGAAGATTTCAGGGATGAGAATTTGCAGACGGGGACCAAGCATTACGCACTTATTCTTTGCAGATGATTCACTAATCTTCTGCAAAGCAAACCAGCAACAAGCAACAGAGCTTATGAGGGTGCTGCAAGTGTATGCCACTGGATCAGGTCAACTGATAAATCTCGACAAGTCCTCCATCCTGTTCAACAAAAATGTGAGTCCAGTAGAGAAGCAAGAGATCTGCCAGATCATGGGGAACATGCAACAGGTCAGTCAAGGCAAGTACCTGGGCCTGCCAATGGTGGTCACAAGAACAAAGGAATAGATTTTTGGCTTCATACGAACTAACATACAACAAAGGCTCCTCAAGTGGCAGAACAGACTTCTTAGTGCAGCTGGAAAGGAGATAATGCTCAAGTCGGTGTCCATGGCTATGCCCACATATACCATGTCGTGCTTCAAAGTACCAAAAAGATTGTGCAAAGATATCAGCTCCATTATGTCTAACTACTGGAGAAGTAAATGGTAAGAATAAGGTTCACTGGTGCTCTTGGAAGAAGCTCACTCAAGTCAAGGAAAAGGGCGGCTTGGGATTCAAGGAGCTGGAAGCTTTCAATACTGCATTGCTAGGCAAACAGGTGTGGAGGATACTTACACAACCAAATCTCCTAGTCAGTCAAGTACTAAAGGCCAAATATTTCCCCATGAGCTCCATATTCAAGTGCAAAGTTCCAAACAATGCATCTTGGATGTGGAGGGGTCTGATGGAAGCAAGGGAATTAGTGGAACAAGGAGTTAGAAGGAGAATAGGCAATGGAAGGAGTACACAAATTTGGAATGACAAATGGATTCCAGACGCAACCAATGGGAGGGTGACAACCAAGAGACAATTGGATAGCAGTCCTCACAAGGTGGACGAACTGATAATTCAGAAAAGATGGAATAGGATCTTGGTATTCCAGCTTTTTAATGAAGTGGATGCAGAACGAATCCTGAGCATTCCAATTAGTTTATCAGGAAGAGAGGACAGTTACTTCTGGATGCATGGTGCTGATGGTAAGTACTCAGTCACTTCTGGGTACAAGGCATTGATATCCAGTAGAGAAAGGTCACAAAAAGATATTCAGGAGGAGGTGTCCACGAGCTGGGAGCAACAAAATAATAAGATGTGGAAAGTAATGTGGAGACTCAAAATCAAACACAAGCTAAAGATATTCCTGTGGAAATGCTTGAATAATGCACTGCCAGTGAGAGAGATCATCCATGGAAGAACCAAAGTAGGTGATCCCTTTTGCAGAAGGTGTGGGGAAGGAAGGGAGACAGTAGAGCATACGCTACTGAATTGCAGAGAAGCTAAACAAATTTGGCAGTTTGCACCTATCCAATGGGAAGGCACGCAAGAATATCATGGATGTTTCAAAAGATGGTGGACAGCAATCACCGAGGCAAGGTATAGAGCATCAGGATCACAACATCTGGCCCTAACTGTCAACATTCTGTGGCAGATATGGAAGGCCAGAAATGATTGGGAATTCAAGGGGGAATATCATCAGCCGTGGAGGACAATTAAGAAGGCTCAGGAGGAATGGCTAGAATTTGAAGAAGCAACAAACAAGGAAACTAGGATGAGCACAGGAGAAACATCACTTGACAACCATGATGACCAGCAATTAGAGCCGGAAGGAGGAACAGTGATCATGAGAGTTGCGGCAACAAGTTACACAGACAAACCTGTCTTAGGCATTGGAATCACTTTAGCTGAGGGGAACCAAGAGCCAAAGATAGGATGGGCATTAAGAGAAAGAAGTTCAGGGGTGCAGCTAGTGGACGAAGCAGTAGCACTTAAGCTGGCTATGTGCAAAGCAACCACCTTGCAACAAAGGAAGGTACAATTCCAGGTTCTGAACAAGCAACTCCTCAATCACATACGATCTCAAAAGGCAAGTGATATTAGAATAGCTACTCTGGTGGAGGATATTGTACAATTGAAAGGGCTGTTTCATATGTGCTCCTTTTGTCTAGTTAATAGTGGTAACAATCATCTAAGTTCTAGGATTAGTCTATATGCCTTAGGCATCACAATCGATGAGGAACTTTTGTTTCCTCAGTGTTAAACACACTGATTGTAAAGTTATCTCGAGCCTTTGCTCGCACTTGTACATGTTTTGGAAGTAATATAATCAAATATCGTTTCGAAAAAAAAAAATAATCAAATTGCAGAAACAGGTGTTTTATTGAGAATTTAGCAATACAAAAAAGAAAAATAAAAAACGCTAATGGGTGGAGTGAAAACGTGACCAAGTGAAGGTAAAGTTGCCGCTGTAGTAATATTACTGTTATTAAGACCCATACTAGCAACGTTTTATAGGCCTTCATACACTAGTTCGAGTTTAGCATCTAAAACGGTTTAAAACCCCGTACAGCATGAAAAGGAAGGTTTCAGATTAGATGGATGTTGATGCAAGTAGTACAAATGCACTTTTAAGAGTGCAGAAAATTCTCTTACAAAGTTACTAAAGAAGTAGGAGGAATTTAATAAGTTCTTGAGACGTGATTAAACACTATTCTTAAGATGTTTATTGCCCCACTACATTCAATGGTTTGCTATCAGGCTAAGGATAGAACAAAAAGAAAGAACCATTGTTAGTAAAAACAGGAGTTCTATACTAAGAAATGATCAAATAACAAAATTAGTTTAATTTTTTGAGACTTGTTTATTTTTATAAGAAAATGGTGTTTTCACTTGTTTCTAACATTCAAAAACAATGTAAGTGTCTTCCAAAAACAACCTTTGGTACCAAATATAACCACCATTTGAAATGAAAATATGCCTAAAAACTTCTGACCGTTACCATAATCTGGCTTCGAATTGCTATTTATCTAGACTAGACTCATGGCCAGATTCTAGATAGAAAATTATAAACTATTTAAACAGAATCCAAGCGAGGAATCCATGGCAGGATTCGAGATCCGCGAGTGGATCCACTTGGACTGGTGATCCGTCTGCTGATCCTTGGTTCTGAATTTTCACAAGTCACATTTCGTTTCATTTTGATAAACTAATCCTACAATCCCCACTTAATTTGTAAAACGAAATAACAAACTAACACATATAATACCATGCATAAAAAAGAGTATCATTTGATTTAAACTTTTCTTTTAGTGTTGATATATCAATAAAACTAATCAAATCTAGGTTGCTTATAGCATTAAACTGAGATCTGTAATTTAGTCAAGAAATAGTACACATATAGCATTAAGTATATTGATCAATTCACAAAGAATTTAACACTGTTACTAGCCATGTGCTCCATCCTAGTTTCGTGATCAGTGACAAAAGTAAACCAAACTTTTGCTAGAAGCAGTACCACTTCCATGATCATATAAGTGAAAACACTCTCAAACTTTATATAACAAAGTACTTAGAGAACAATTATTTTTCATTGAAAATATAATTTATCATATATTCAACCTCCCATTTTTATGCAATAGTGGAGTAACTTCATATAGAAAATTCTATGCTCACAACTAATTAGATAAAGAGTTTCAACCCCATAATCAATGACGTCGCATTCACTAAATCCCTTGGCAAGGATGTAGTCAACAGATCCACTAAATTATTGTATGTTCTTATAAATACAATCTCCACGATGTGATCTTGTAACATTTGTCTAAGATACTTATGTCTTAAACTAATACGTCTAGATTTATCATTTTACACCTTATTTAAGACTTTAGACATAGTGGCTTCACTACCACAATATAAAGAGATCAGAAGCATAGATTGTGGCCGCAACTTGGTATCAAGTGACAAGTCCCTAAACCAGTCTGCCTCTTTACACGTAGCAGCCAAATCTATAAATTCAACTTCCATTGTGGAATGAGGGCAATCATGGTTTACTTCTTAAAAGCCCATGAGATTGCACCACCATCCAAATTAAATATCTACCTAGTTGTGGAATTCTTATTACTCACATTAGTGAACCAACTAGCATATGAGAAACCTTCAAGTAGTGCTGAAAATTTATTATTAAAGAGTTCTAGACTCTTGGTTCTTTTAAGATAACCAAAAATTCTTTCAATAGACTTCCAATGATCTATACCTGGATTATTAATATATCTAGCAAGCTTACAAACTGCATATGATATATTCAGTCTTATGCAATTCATTGCATACACCATGCTTCCAATTGCACTAGTATATTCAAGTTGAGCAATAGAATTTTAGAATTCTCATAACACTTCAAGTTAGGATCAAAGGGAGTACTCACTTCTTTGATTTTAAGATACTAAAACTTGTTCAATATCTTCTTGTCAATATAGTGAAATTAACATAGAACATAACCCCCACTATATTGTTTCCTAACTTTAATACCTAAGATGGTATCCACCTGGCCAAGGTCTTTCATTTTGAACCTTGAAAAAAGATACTTCTTAGTGTTTTCAACACATTTCATGGTATTACTAACAATTATTGTGTCATCTATATAGAGACAAATTATCACACTATACTCTTGAGTGAGTTTAGAATAAACACACTTGTTAGTATTATTGTACCTAAATTCACCTGAAAGTAATACATATTCAAATTTTTTATACCATTATTTAGGTGCTTGTTTCAAGCCACATAATGACTTAACTGTAGGAACAAATGCTTAACAATGCTAACACTAGTAACTAAATGAGGAACACGAACACGCTTGAGTTGTGCTAAATAGTACTGTTCTAAGAACTATTTTAGGGATACTGAAATATTTCCCCAGGATTAAACAAGCCATCTTCTTAAATCAAGAAGGAACAAGAACAGCAAGTTGCACTATATCCAACAGAGAGTAGGAGAAGTAAAATAAAGACCAGAGAGCAAGAGAAAGAGAGAATGACTTTTGGAAAGTTTGGTGATGTACTTGGAGAAACAAGAATGCCTAGTATTTATAGGTCTAGAAAAAGTAACGTGCAAAGGGATCAAAAGTCACGTTTGTTGACTGTTAAGAGAATCATGGATTTTATCCATGTGATGCAAATGTTTAGGAACCAACAGAACCGTTGTGGTCAAAGCTATTAGATTGTAGGTAAAGTTTTATCCTTCAGAGTGCACATGCTAAAGTTTTGAAATAGTTGTGCAGATAAAACTTTGAAAGGGTCAAACTTTTATCCAAGATAACTTCCTCTAGTTTACAACATGGGCCAAGAATCTTTTGAAATACATTTATTTACAACAATCTCCTTCGTATTTCAAAAGATTTTGGTCAAAAGATAAGAAAATAATCCGCTGGATTTATTTGGGTGAAATGTAATTAGTGTGGTGTCTTTTGGACTATGAACCAAACTTAAATTGACAAAACATGACCTACAGAATTATTGGTGAAATATAAATTTCTATGAACCAATAACTCTTGATGTATGATAGAGATTTTATCAATCACATTGCAACCCATAATTTGCTGTTAACGCGGTTTTACGCTATTAGGCCATGCGCCTGTCTGGTTATTCATGAGAGCTATAAAGATTCGGCCAATAAATCTTATAGGAGCGGCCCCACTCCACTCTCATATAGGTGAATTCATCGAGTGTATATTACTTTAAATACACCTCCCTAAAGAGATATGAATTTATTAAGAATTTTAAACTCATCCTCACAATTACTAGCAATCAAAGCACTTATCTCCGGAGAGACTTAGATTTGAAGTACTTTACGGTCAATATTGACTTGTTATTATCCATATAAACCTATTTCATGGGATCACCAATCACATAGGTTAGGTTACTATCTCTATTGACAATTTGTTGGCCTCAATCCCATTTCCCTTGTAGTTTGAAGAATTAATTTTCTTCCTACAGGTTTAGTCAGAGGATCGGCCAAGTTCAACTCTGACTTCAAAAAATCAATGGAAATAATTCCATCTCTAAGCAGCTGCTTTACGACATCATGTCTTAGTTTCATATGTCGACTTTTACAATTATATGATTTATTTTTTGCAATAGCAATTGCCGCTTGACAATCACAATGTATGAATATAGGAGGCAACAGATCCTTAGTCGGAGGAATATTGGCTAAGAAGTTTCTTAACCAATCAGCCTCAGAACCAGTAAACTCTAGAACTACAAACTTTGATTCCATAGTTAACCTAATAATGATTGTCTGCCTAGCTGACTTCCGTACTACTGCACCACTACCAAGGGTAACTACATAACCACTAGTGGATTTTGTCTCATTTGAATCCGAAATCCAATTAGCATCACTGTACCCTTCTAATACAGTGAAAAATCCACAATATAAGATACCATAATTTATGGTACCTCTCAAATATTTCATTAGTCTGATTAATGCAAACCAATGCTCACTTTTAGAATTGTGAGTATATCTACTCAGTCTACACATAGCATAAGCTATGTCAGATCTTGTGAAATTCATCATATGCATCAGACTCCCAATAATCTGAGCATATTTAGACTGAGCAATTAGGTCATCATTATTTTTCTTTAATTGAATGTTAGCATCATAAGGAGTACTTATAGGTGTCACATCATAATTTTCAAACTTGCTAAGAAGTCTTTCTATATAATGTTCTTATGACAAAATTATACCATCATTTTCCTTATGATTTTAACACCCAATATCATTTTAGTTTCACCCAAATCTTTCATATCAAAATTAGAAGAAAAAAAATATTTAGTACTATTAACAATATCTATACTTGTACCAAATATAAACATGTCATCCACATATAGGTTAATTATCACATATTGATTATTCACAAATTTAGTATATACACATTTATCCATTTCTACAAACGAAAATCCGTCTTTTATCAATACTTGATCAAATTTCTCATGCCACTACTTAGGAGCTTGTTTTAGGCCATAAAGAGATTTAATTAATTTACATACTTTATTTTCTTGTCCAGATACAACACATCCTTCAGATTGAAACATACAAAATTTCTTCTTCTAAATCACCATTTAAAAAAACTGTTTTGACATCTATTTGATAAACAACAAGTTTATGGATAGAAACTAAGACAAATGATACACGAATAGAAGAAATTCTTATTACTGGTGCAAATGTGTCAAAATAGTCAATATTTTGTTTCTGAGAAAATCCTTTTCCTACTAA